CGGGGCAGACCTACTGACAAAGTCACCTTCCCCACACCCACAGACCATCAGCGATCTCTATGGGGACGTGACATAAAAATTCCCTGGAGACTCACCTGGACCTACAAAGAGAGACAGCTTCAAGTGCCACACATGAAATTTGGGGCCGGCTGTGGTATCCACATCAGTCTTCACCATGCCCTCCTGCCTGCTTGGTACAATTTGGCCTCGAAGCCCATCACCCCAGGTCTAGTCCCTCCTGTAGAAAGCCTCTGACACTCAACCTTAGGGCAGACTGACATAACTGCTCAGGCAGGCAGACAGACAGACAGACACCCTGTCCTGGTGCCTGGTTTTGCCTTCTACCATCCATTGGTCCTGGGAAAATGACTTGATGTCTATGACTTGCTTCCTCAAACACTGGAAAGAGATGATCCAGTGCTTTCCCTGCAGAGCTACTGTGAGGCCTGAAGAAGACTACGATGACGAGTGCTCAACATGATGACAGCGGAAAGCTCCAGGTGGTCCCTCAGACATGACCCAGGCTCACTGATTATCAGCCGTGACCTAATTTGTTCATTAAACACCATTTGCTCTATTCAACCTACTAAGCAGTGACAATTGATACTTTTGAGTACTCCTTTGGCCCCCAAATTTTAAGTGTTCTGTGTAATGAAACTCACAGCTCCATAAGACACGTAAAGCTTTATCGCTGTTTTACAAATGGGGAAAACTAAGGCACAGAGTGGCTAAGCCACTTGCCCCTGGTCACACAGCCAGTGCTGGAATGGAAATTTGAATAAACCAATCAGGCTCCAGCTTTGAATTAGCGCATCACTGCACTAGAATGGAATCGCCTCACGGTCGGGGCTGGGTTGGTTCATTCCTCAGGGGTGCTTGGCCCAGGGCTTCAAGTTAATACAAGAAGAGTGCATGAAGAATTGTTTCCTCTGTAGACACAGGCAGAATGCCTGCGAGAGTTGAACGGAAGGTGACAACGCTAAATTGAAGGTGCCACCTGCCCTGAGCTTCTGTACAGCTTCTGGAGTAACTCTGGAATTCCCTGAAGACCTTATTGTGGGGACCCCTGGAACTCCCAGGGCTGATTTTTATAGAACTCGAAAGAGTCCTTTCTTCCATTTGATTCTTGGGGTACAGTTAGGGCAAGCACAGCAGGAGCAGGCTGGCTCCAGGCAGAAGAGGTTTTGTAGGAACAGAGAAGCTGCCTTTGTCTCCTTGGGCCCAGTACTGTGTTCTGCTGTGAGACAGGTATGCAAGAGAGTTTCCAGAAGAAGAGAGACCTTCTGATAAGTCTTCCAGGGTGCCCAGAAAGCCCTGTGTTTCTTTCTTACCATTGTCATCTTGTGTGCCAAACAGTGTGATGAAGACGTTGGCATCTGTGCCCGCGTTCTTCTTGTCCCCGGTCTTTACGGTTACTGAAAATGTGGTTGCCTTATCTGCGAGGAGAAGATGACAGAGACGTGAACTTAGATCACCTGGGGATACCAAGAAGTGGAAGGGGAGGCCATGATCTGTCCACCGCGCCTCTGTCACTCCAGTTCCTCCCCTGTATCCATCCTGTAGCAGTGAGCTGTGGTAAGCAACGAATGTGTCTGTTCACCTGGTCAGTTCTGAAAATTGCTTTCCTTGTAGTGCCTTTAACTCTAAAAACTCCCCAGTGGCACAGAAATGCCCCTGCCCTGGTTCCTACAGGAAGTCCTCGTGGTTCGTGGTCAAAGAGACCTGAGGTGAGTGGGAGTCAGAAGCCTGGCGCTCTGCTCTGACCTCTCTAGGCTGGGCGGGGCTTCAGGGATAGGCCCCATGGGCCTTTTGCTAGATGGTGCTAATTCTTTTTTTCTTCAGAAATATGCCTCAGGAGCCTAAAGATGTACCTAGAGGACAAAAGATAAGTCAGAGCTAGTTCAACCACTCTTTTCCTGAAAAGCAGCTCACAGCTGTGGACCTCGTTATTCTAAGCCCTATGCTAGGTATATGGGAACACTGCTCCCCCAACCTCTATGTTCTCTCCATGGAGAGAGGAGAGGGCAGGACAGCTACAGGGTCAAGGAGGAGGTGCCCAGAGTCCATAAGCAGGGAAGAGCCTAGAGGAAGGGAAGGGATAGGAAGATGGAAGTGGGGAGGAGGAGGAGAAAGGGGAGGAAAGAGAGAAGAGATATTGGGGGAGATTATCTCTAATATAAGATACCTTTTTGTTCCAGAGCCAGGTTGTCAAGGGGGTTACTGTCACCACGTCCCCCACCCTCCTCATCTTCGCTGGGTAGCACGTAAGACTCATCCACTGGCAACAGCTCCCTGGACAGCTGGCCGTCATCCTCCTCAACTGCTAGCCAGCGCTGGCATGGGAAGTAGTACCTGAAGGTGCAGGGTGAGGAAGATTGGGGTATCTCTTTGGAAAGATCTCATATGGGAGTTGAGACATGCTGAGGACGAGGGCCCTCCCCAGGGCTGAGACCCCCAAGCCTGCCCTCCACAGAATCGCACCCCCATTCTGCCCAGCTTAGGAATTACCCATATGTCTGCCTGGGATAAGTGATAAGCCCAGGGCACTCTCAGTCCATGATACATTGGGTAGAAAAATATACAGAGAGGGATTTATGAGACCCTTGTCATGCCCTTCTTGGGCAATCTGAGTCCAGTGACTCTGGCACAAGGGAAGTGCTCCATGACCATGTACAGAGTCCAAGGACTTTGGTGGGATGGACCAAGTGTGCTTATGGGAGATACAAAGTGTATCTAAGAAGCAGAACGTGACATCCCAGCCTTCAAAGGAGAGGATGTCCATGAAGATTCCTCCATGGAAAAGCAGTACCTAGCACAGTGGCTGGGCCTGGAGAGGAAGGTAGACCAGGAGAGGGTTAGACACCTTACTAAGGACTCACTTCTGAAGTTCAACTCTCGGGCCCCTGTCTCCTGAGGACTCTTCAGCTAATTCTTGTGTGATCTTGAGCATATTCCTTCCTAGGATTGTCAGATTTAGCCAATGGAGGGCCACGACTCCCAGTCACACTTGAATTTGGCACAAACAATGGGTCATGTTTTTGTGTGTATCCCACGTGAGATCTGGAACATGCTTGTTCCACGGCTAAGGGCATGCTCTCTGTAGAGAACTGCTAACTCAACAGCTGGGGCTCTGGTTTCTTTCCTTGCTTCTCTTTCTTTCTCCTCCCCCATGCTCAGGCGATCATGGAGGTTGTAGGCTAGCATCTAAGCTCTAGAGCTGCTCAGAGGGTCTGAGAATGCAGCTGGTGTACAGGCTGGGGGCCATTGCTCTCCGTCTGCCGCTCTTCTTCTTGCCCTGATGTGAAAAGGCCATTTATGAACTAGTCCACTTCTGGGCTGGACAGTATCCTGGCAAGTGTCCATGTCCTCAGCACCTCCAAATGCAAATCAGAGGGCGTGACTTCAGCCCCACACTCAGAGAGCCAAAGAAGGCCATGTTATACTGGAAGACTAGGAGGGTGAGAGTCACTGCTCTGGGTCAGCCCTGACAGCAGTGCTTCTGTGGCGAACACGCACTGCTCTACTTCTTAGCCTTTAAATGTCGACAGGCTAAACTTTAACCCAATCAAACGACTCAAGAATAATGGGCTGCAGTTCTCAATTATGTAAGGGGGTTGGGGTAGAGAGCTGGATTGTGGCAGAGACAATGAGAGCAGAGGTAGAGACAGAGACTCTTAGAAAGAAAGAGCCTAGGAGGTGAGAGCATGGGGGCAGAAGCCAGGAAGGAAGGCTCAGCCCTCCCGCCGGCGCCTGCTGAGCACTGGAAGCACACAGGACCCAGAGGCTTTGTGGAGCTCCATTGTCCCTGAGACACCTGCAGCAGGATTCTGAAGGCCGCCACAGGCTCACAGCTGCTGCACCAGCAGGCAGAGCTCCAGCAGGCGGAAGCGGATGGGAGCTGGAGCCAGGCCAGGATTGGGGGTCAGCCCTCTTCCCCCAGGGCCGGTGATCACACATGGAAATCCTGGGGGACTGGGCCTAGTGACCCTTCCATCCTCCCACAGGAGTAAGTCCTGCTCAAACAGGTCTCTGGAGGCAGAAGATGCAGCAGGCAGAAAGTTGTAAGGAATAAAGGACAGGGGCAAGCAGGCAACCCAGCCAAAGGCAAACTGCACAGCTCAGACCAGGGTGGGGCAGAGAGGAGCCCCAGGCCTGAGCAGCAGGCGCTTCACATGGAATCAAAGCTTGGGAGCAGTTTAACACACACACACACACACACACACACACACACACACATACACACACACACACACACACCTTACTTGAAAGTACAAAAAAAAAAAAAAAGACTAAGATTACGCAGTCGAGCGTTATGTAAATAGCTAGCAGGGCCTGGTGGTACTAAACCTGTAGTCTTGCGACCAGAGAAGTTGAGGTAGGAGGATCAGAAGTTCAAGGCCAGTCTAGGTAACTTGGCGAGACTCTGCTTCAAATCAAAAGCAAAAAGGCTAAGGATACAGCTTGATGTACAGTGACGTACCCAACTAACTAACTAAATATAGATGGTATTCTCCACTTTTCAAAATATAGGCAGCAGATGGTGGTGCTAATGGTGATAGCCCCAGTGTAGAGCTCAGGAACTCTGAACTTGGGTCTTGTGCAGCCACGCTTTCCTCTAGGTACTGGGGAAGTCACAGTAGGAACAGCAGAGAGGACGTTGTTTCTTCCCTGTGCCACTGTGGAGAAATGGTAAATAGGCCAGATAAAAAGCCATCCAGAGAAAGGAGCAGGGAGGGCATTCCAGGGGTCCATGAGGCAGTGACAGCTAGGCAGAGACCTGCCTAAACATGGGGGAATGGAGCTCTGGGGAGGGAATGCAAGAAGAGGGGACCGCCAATGTTAAGGCTCCAGGAAGATCCATTTTTGTTGGGCTCAAGGAATAACAAGAACTGAGAAAAATAGAGGTGGGGACAGGGCAGGTGGGACTAGAATCAAGAGCTAGGAGAGCAGAGGGAGACTAGCTAAGCCACTTAGGGCATGCTTGTGTTCATCCTGTAGGTGATAGGAGTCTCTTAGGTTTTAGAGCAGAGGCCTGAAGGATTCTGGGTCAGGAGGCTGTGACCAGAAGTGGTCGGATGTCACCACGGACTCAGACTCATGTTTTTCTGAGCCAAGAGCCACGACATTCTGCTACCAGACTGGGGGAAGGTGTGAGACAGAGAGGGACCCAGGAGAACTGGCCGCAAGGGAGGTTGCTACTGTGGTCCCAGGCAGGTAAGGAATGATGTAAATGTTCTCAAACCCCCTGACCACTGGGCATTTCCCCTGCCCTGTAGAGGTTGGGAGAGCAGAGGGCAGGCCCTGAGACCTCTGTAGGAGACCTGCTGTTGTCATTCTGTCTTCTGCATTTTCTTGAATCTCTCTCTCTCTTTTTTTTTTCTATCAGATGAAGCTGTACTCAGCGTTGGCGTGAAAGCTGTTGAAGCCAGCTCATTACTGAAGAGAGCTTCTTATTAACGAAGCACAAACCAGTTACACATGCACAGAAAAGGATGGGGCAGGATGGAAAGATGGGGAAGGAAGGAAATAAAGGGCAAAGGAAAGACCAGTGAGAGGACTTTCTTCCCAAGAGCAACAGAAGCGCACTCTGCCTGGACATAGACTTAATCAGAACCAGTAGCCATTCAGAATAGAAAATTGTTGCAGATTATTGAGATGCACAAATGAACAGTTGGACAAGAGAGGAAATGTACCCGGAGGGGGTTGGCACTTTAATTTCTAAATATACAATTCCCCACATATTCTTTTAATGGTAGAACAATCAAACTCTCAAGAGGAGCTTTTGTTCCCCCCAAATCATTTAATGTCTTGATTTGAAAAAGGTAAGAATAGCTAATATTTTTAAAGGATAATGAAAGAGGACAAATGCTGACAGATATTCAAATAGATTACAAAGCTACAATAATTTTTAAATTGTTGGGCTGGACCAAAACTGTCAAATCAACAGAAGAGAGTAACTAACCCTGGATGAGCATGAAGGGAGCAGGGCAGTGTCTTTTTCCAGCCTGTCTCGGCAGCACTCTGTCCTTTTCCCAGCTGAAAAGCCTGGGATTTGGCAGGGACATCTTGGGAAGTTAGCAGGGCAGTGCCACTAAGCTTGTTAGAAGAGGAAATGACAGCCATAAAGAGGTAACTTAGCATGACTTTGGCAGAGGATCTACCCAGGTCAGGACCCCTTGGTCCCAAGTCACAGGATGCTTTTGGCAACCAGAACACAGAGCTACCTGTGAGGTGAGCTTCAGGTCTCCTTGGGAATGACCACATAGGGTCTAGGTGGAACTAGGGTGAGTCCTGCTACCTCATGTCCTGCATGGAGCTTAGCACAAGAAAAGGACATGGTCCAACACACAGCAGGATTCAGGCCAAGAAACTTATTCAACAAATATTTATTTGCTAAGTGCTCACTAAATTTCACACACTGTCAGACCCTCAGCAGTCCTGATAACCATTCCAGAGTTCTAATGCTTTTCTCCATGCCACTGAACTACACATGGAGGAACCTTCTTTCAGTTCAATTACCCTGGATCCCCTCATCCAGGAGGAAGTGTGACTTAGCGGTAGGAAACACAGCGGGGCTCACAGCATTGGTCTGGATGTCGTGTCCTGCGCTGGCACCAGCTGGTTCTGGGCCAAGGGCTCCTTCATCTGTGGGGAGGACCAAACACCCTCTTCTCAAGCTAGGGTAGAGGGTGGCTATGAGTCTCCAACAGGTACCAGTCCAGCCCAACACCTGCTCACATATATCAAGCCCACCATAGGTTTGCATCTCTAAGTGGTTGAGAAGAAAAAGTTGAAAGAACAATAGCATGTTGAGGTATGAAATTCAAATTTCAGCATCCACAAATGAAGTTTAGTTGGCACACAGGCCCATTCCCCATTTCAGTGCCATTTAAGGCTGGTGTTTTTGTTTTGAACCAGGATCTCACTATGTAGCTCAGGCTGGCCTGGAACTCACAGAAGTCTGTCTGCTTCTGCCTCCCAAGTGCTGGAATTAAAGTGTGCCTTAGCATTGGCCTGCCCTTTAATTACCTCCCCCTGAGGGGGAAGCAGCATTACCAGGTCACAGAAGAAGACAATGCAGCCACTCCTGATGAGACCTAATTGATTAGGATCAGAAAGAAGACCTCCCCTATCAGTGGACTTGGGGAGGGGCATGCATGCAAAGGGTAGAGGAAGAGAGGGATTGGGAAGGGAGAAGGGAAGGAACCACAGGGGGAATACAAAGTGAATAAAGTGTAACTAATAAAGAATAAAAAAAAAGTGTGCCTTAGCACATTCATCTAAGGCTGCAACTGTGCTTTCCCAGTAGAGTGCCTTCTACAGAGACCAAATGCTGTTCAGACCTGGAAATGTTTCCCACATGGCCCTTTTAGAAGATTTGGCTGATATCTGGCCCCCAGAATATAAACAACAGGTACTCTAAGTTGATCTCTCCATGGAGAGTTATGGGTGAAATGAGATGCTGAAGTGGGTGTTCCAGAAGAATGCTATCCGAAAGAACAGGAACTTCTGGGAGGGAGAGAAGAGGAGCGATGTTCCCCAGATTCCTTTATGGTCAAACTCATCCTGGTCTCAGCCAACCCATCCACCCTCAGACATCACTGTCGAACACCTGGTCCCCTCTCCAGGAATAGTTGAGCACCAAGCAAGATCCCCTCTTTCTCTCCTTGAGTCCCACTCACGTGATCTCATTATTCATGTCGGTGATGTCTACCCTGTCCAGGAACCAGCCTGGTCTGCTCCCTGTGTTATCATGGCGAATCCGAATCTTGGTCAGAGCCCCCAGGTCAATGGCATAGATGGTAAAGGTGTCTGTCTAGGAAGAGAGAAGCCATGACTCAGAAGAGCAGTGCATGTCCTCCCTCCCCTTGTCTTCAGCCCTAGTCTCTCAAGCACCCGAAGGAAGACCATAAAGCCCAAAGCAACCAGAGCTAGAGTGTGGAAAATGCAGCCCTGCGGTCTGGAGGTAGCACCACATGATTCTGGTTTTTTGAGCTCCGCGTGTAGCTTAGGTTGGTCTTGAACTTGTCGCCGTCCTGCCCCTGCCTCCCAAGTGCTGATATTACTGGTGTGCATGACTATGCACAGTTCTTACGCTGCTGCTTTATAACCTGAGCCTATGAGGGCATCTTCTCACTATCATTGTACCAAGAAGCTAGAGAAAGGAGAAAGACAATGACCTTGAGAGAGGCAGAGAAGACAAAGGAGCATGATCTTACATTAGTTGTTTGTTTTCAAGACTGGGCTTCTTTTGTGTATCCTTGGCTGTCCCTGGAACTAGCTTTGGAGACCAGACTGGCCTTGAACTCAGAGAGGTCCACCTGTCACTGCCCCCTGAGTGCTGGGATTAAAGGTGTGTGCCACTACCGCCCCGCTGGATGATGATGTGTGAGGAGTATGTAGGTGTGGGGAGGGCTACACCAGGACCCTATTCTCAGAGTACACATGTATACAATCTCCTTCCATCCTAAGTGTGCCAAACACCTGCCATGAGCCAGTCCTGAGCAGATCCAAGGAGACAGGCAGAAGTGATCTGGATGTGCCTGTCCCTTAGGTGGAAGACGAATGGAGTGAGCGCCATGCACAAGTCTGTGGGTCGCCATGTGCATCGGAGGGGGACGAGAAGACAGGTCCAGTGAGCGAATGGGGTCTTCTGGACAAAACTTTAAAAAACTACTTTGAAAGATTTTAAACCTTCAGAAAACTCACAGAAGTAGATATAACCATGACCTGCCTTCTCCCTGCGCTATTAGTGGAATTATTTCACTTCATCTCTCTCTTACATTCTTTCTTTGTCTGTTTTTTTTTTCTGGATCAGTTTAAAATAGGTGGTAGATACTAGGATCCTTTACCCCTAAATAGTTCAAGGTGAATCCCTAATAACAAGGACATTCTCACTTAACAACTTTCAATGGTCTAATTTGTGTTAACTTCAACACAATACAGTCACGGGCTCTTAGAAACAGAGAATGTTCTGAGAAACACGTTGCTAGGTGAGTGTTGTCACTATGCAAACACCATGCTTTGGTTTATACAAGCTGAGATGGCGCAGTGTCACGGGTGACACACTGCTAGGGGACCACAGCACGCACTCTGTTCTTTGTCAGCTGAAATGTCGTGTGACAAGTGGCAGTGCTGGTAGTCAACGCATAGTCAGTATCAACACAGACTGCACCGACTCTAGCAGTCTGTTCTCTACAGTGACGTCCCAGTCCAGGAGTACGATGGCTATCAGTGTCCAAGGTAGGCACTGGACACAGAAACAAAACCCAGTATTGAGTCATGGGAGGGATGCTGAAAGAAACATGGGGTTGAAAGGGCTGCAAATAGCTCACAGTGTGAGCTTGAGCGTTTTAGTGGATTTGACATGTCCGTTCCTGTGTTGACAAGGGGGGGCAAGAGAGGAGGGTGGGACAGGCGATTTTGTGAAATCTTGAAGGGCAAGAAAGCACTTTCTTCATCATCTTTCCTTTTCGCTTGGAAGAGTGAGGTGCATACATTCCATTCACGGTTTCCCCTCCTCAGGAGAAGCTGCAGGCCACACAGCCACACCACACTCATCAGTCCAGATCAAGTCACTGCTGTCCACCAAGCCTGTCCACCAAGTGTCACCTCTTTGCTTTGTGAGACAGGGTCTCACTACATAACTCCAGGCTGGCCTCAAACTCAGGGGCTGGAGAAACAGCTCAGCAGTTAAGAACATTCCTCCATCTTCTCTAGGACTAAACTTTGATTCCCAGCCCTCACATGGTCATTTACAGCTGTCCATGCCTGCAGGGCAAAGGAATCTTAAGCCCTTTTCTGGCCTTTGTGGGAACTGCATCCATGTGGTACACACCCATACACAAAAATATAAATAAATATATATTTTAAAGCCTCTCAGCTCACTCCGTCAGAATACCTGCTACAGGCTGTAGTCTCTGGCTGACCCTGGGGACCAATTAGCCTATGATATTCTCTTACAGGAGTCTGCCTATCATTTTCTCATAACTCTACAAAATACTGGTGCTTACAGAAGGGTAACTACAGCCAGCCAGACCTCTCTGGAGCAAATGTAACACCCTGTTAGACACACAGCAGACAAGATGCTGGCTAAGGTTGCTACGGGCAGGAGCTCTCACTCTACCTGGCCCTGCTCAAACTTGTTGGACTTGTCTGATTTCTTCAGGGGCCGCTCCCCTGTGTCCCCGTATTCCTCACCGTAGATGGTCAGGTAGACGTTGGCATCAGTGCCAGCCTTGGGCACGTTCCCTGTGATCACCTGGACCTCGTACGTATTGGCTGGAGAGAAAGAAAGATGCAGCAGCTGAAAATATAAGAGCCACAAGACAGAGCCACAGCCCATGCCCTGGGATCCAGGTAGGCCCTGGAAGGAAAAAGGTGCCACAGCTATGTCCATACCAGCTTCCCCTCTTTCCACCCAAGACTTGTCTTGAAACCAAGAGCCACCGGGCCCTAGCAACCCTCCTACCTTAACCCCACATTTGGCTATCTCAAGGAGTGTGAGGGCTCCTCCCAAAGCCAATGTTCCCCTTGAGAGGCACAGGTCAAGGGCTGTGCTTAGCTCCAAACAGAGGGGGTCAAAGGTCACTGTACAGGTGCAGGTCAGGAGAGCTATGTGTGAACCACACTGGAGTCCCGCCTACTCAGTCTACCTGAGGGATACTGAATCATCCTGCCCCCTCCCTGGCCCCTGTAGGGGAAATATGGCACTTTTTAAATTTAATTTTATTTTTTTAAGGCTTACGCTCAGGACCAGGCCGACCAGCTGGGACCAATTCCACGACAAGTTCATTGTCCTCCTTGCCCCGCGCCAGCCAGCGGTTGACTTCGAACTTGTACTGCTCAATCACCTCCTGCATCCCTGGCCCGTACTCCTCCTCTTCTTCCTCCTCCTCCTCTGTCTCCTCCTCTTCTTCCTCCTCAGATGAGGACTCTTCCGAAGAGGATTCTTCTTCCTCCTCACCCTCATCCTCCTCGTCGCTGCCTTTCTTCTTTTTCTTCTTCTTCCTCTGCAGCTTGGCCTTCAGCCTCTCCTTCCTCAGCAGCTGCCTCAGCTTGTCCTTCTCCTTCTTCTTCCGGGCCTCCTCCTCCGGTGTCAGGTTCGCCTCCTGCACCACCAGGTGCCGCAGCCACACCATGTCCACAAACCAGCTGGGCCCAAAGCCCTCGCCTGTGTGTCCCAGTCGGATCTTGTAGATCTCACCCACGTCCGCCGCTTCCAGCTGTGCAAAGTGCAGGGCGGTAGCTTACGAGGCCCCTGCCAGCCCCCCTCCCCCACGAAGCCAGTGCTGAGCTGCAGTGTAGAGTGTCAGGGCCTCCACTCACAAGTATGGAAGATCCCCCTCTCCCACCGCGCCCGGCTCTTCCCCAGGCTTAAGGAAAAACAGTTCTTTCTAACTCCCATGGTCTCCCTGTTTTTGTCATTCTTTCACCCTCACTCCTGCTTCTGTATCTGCTCATGTGGCAGAGGCAGGCAGATCTCTGTGAGTTTGAGGCCAGCCTGGTCTACAGAGGGAACAGCCAGGGCTACATAGGGAAACCCTGTCTTGAAACAAACAAACAAATAAATGAATGAATGAATAAGCAACAACACCCCCTCCCCCCCCAAAAAAAACCCCAGACAATATTTTCCTGGTTTTTCTTTACAAATGTGTCCATTATTAGGAAGATATGATTTGGGCAATAAACAAAGAAATGGGTTTCTTTCTTGTAACAAACGTTCCCATTTCCTCAGAGTTCTCCATTTTTACCAGTCATGCAGCTTTGGTTTACCAGACCCTTGAGCTCAAAAGGGGCTGGGCCAGGATTTAGCTGGCTCTGGTCCTATCCTGCCATCTTGGGCTCTAGAGCTGTGCTGTGGTTTGAATATGAAGTAGTTCCCATAGGCTCCCGTGTCTGAATACTCAATCTTCAGCTGGTGGCTCTGTCTTGAAGACTGTGAAACCTTTAAGAGGCAAGGCCCCGCTGAAGGAACTGAGTCACTGGGCGTGGACCTCAACTTCTGATACCCCTACCACGTTCCCTGCTGCTCTCTACCCTGCCACTGTACATGCAGTGCGATCTCACACTCCTCCATCATTGATCTCACACTCCTCCATCGTTGATCTCACACTCCCCCATCGTTCCTTTCTTGCCATGATAAACCCCATCGTCTTAAACCGTAACCTGAAATAACCCCTTTGTCCTTATTTGACTTTTTCAAGTATTTTGTCACAGTCATGAGAAATAAACCAATACAAGCTATGAGCTCCCTGTAAGGACCAAGAGCATCCTTTTGGGTCTCTTCCCACAGCCCAGTGCACGGTGGCTCAGCCTCACTGTGTCACACATTCTTAGGAAGAAGGAAGAGACTGAGATTCAGATTTTGGGGGCACCTAACCTGAGGTCCTTTCTGTCTGGCTCTCCCAAGTACCTTGATACTGAGGCCGTCTTCATGTTTGACTCTTTTCAAAGTCAAGTCCCACTAGTTTTTCCATCTGAGTGCCAAGCATCAGAGACCCAAGGCTTAGCTACTCAGTGTCTACCCTTTCATTCCAGACTTAGATGAGAACAAAGCTCTCTCAACTCTGTATTCAGGAAACCGCAGTGGAGCTAACCGAAATCATCAAGCAAGATGGTGCCTAGGGCCTCACTAAAGCAGATTTCCCTCTCCTTGCTGCTTTAGGGATGGGAACTGAGCACCGTTCAATTTCATTTCTATGAGTGCTCACAGTTTCCCAGGTGCGCCTCTGACACTGACTCTTTTTATTGCAGTGGAAACTGTGATGCAAGCCAGGTTAATTACAAAGCTGGATTATACTGATGAAGAAGCTGAAGAGCTCTGGAAAGGTCAGGTAGATGGGCTTGGGCCTGACAGTAGTGAGGGAGGACGTAAAACCCAGTGGGGATCCTGTAGCTGTAATATTCCAGACATTTGTGATCACGTCTAACCCCAACTTAGAGAGGGTCTTTAATGGGCACTGGAGAAGGCTCTCTACCGCAGACCAAGGAGTCTGTGGTACAAAAGCACACATTGGAACACCCAGCATGAGCATGTTTCCTTCACACATGTAGATGCACACACATGTACTGTACATATACGTACATACACACATGCTTTCGTGTCCAGCATAAAATACTCAGTGGCCTCTGCATCCTCCTCTCTTAGTAACAATGTGCTCACATTAACATCTGGGGTTACATCACGTCTACATCTGGGGTTTTGTTTGTTTGTTTTGCTTTGTTTTTAACTCTAGCCAAAGACTCGCAATGTGAAGAGAGGAAGCCCAAGGACATTAAAAACTCATTAGCAAACTCTGCTACCTCTCAGGGGCCTGCCTGAGAAATATGGACGTGTCACCAGCCTGGGAGAAGTTAAGAGTCAGAACCATAGACAAGGAGCAAGAGGAGGAACCCAGCCCTGATGCCATCGTTCGTGAAATAAGGACCAGTCACACAAGACTCGACAGTACATTGGCTAACTGAACTTTCAAGAGAAATCTACCTCAGAAAACACACCCTATTTCCAAAGATCGATTTGACTGGCTTGGGGTGTGGGGTGAAATAGCACTTTCCCTTAAAGATCACCAGGTAACTCAAGCATGAGGCTAGGAAGGACAGGAAGGACTCTTAGTCATTTCAGACCCCAAACTCGGGTCCAAGATACAAGCTACCATTCAAGGTGGAGCATGGACAAACATCCATGTTTTCTCCTTTCCAGTTCAAAATCTACAGTTCACTCATTGCTTCCAGGGTTCCCCGGAGCCCAAGGGAATTTTAGTTCCACCTGCCCCCCAGGTAGCATTCCCCATTCAGCTAGAGGAAGGCAGTCTTTTCTCCCAATGGGCATTAGCTGAGGAAATAAGATTGCCTGGCTACCACCTTAGTGAATGCTAGTCCTCTGCCCCTCCCCCCCATTGCTTCGCTCTCACCCACCTGGAATATGTCCTTGGATGCCCGATCAAACACTTTGGAGCGGCTGGAGAGGAAGAGCACTTCGGTCTTGCCTTCTTCCCCATAAATCTGCACGTAGACCCGAGACGTGGTACCTGCGCCACCCACGTCCCCTGTCCAAACCTCAATCTCGTAGTGGACCACTGGTGGGAGAAATGGGCTGGTCAGTAAAACAACGGTAGCAGCAAACGTTCCTCCACCCCCCCCCAAGCACTTGCCAAGCCCAGCCCCACACCTGGTCCTTCACAGGCACCATCCTACCTAACCAGCCCAACATGATGAGCCAACGTTTTGCAGATGGATGAAGCCCTTAGGCTTAGAGGAATTGAGTAGGTTGTGGAGATGGCAAGCCTAGGCAATCAGAATGTTATGTCTGGTCCTCCATCACAACGCACATGTCCTTGGAGACCAGGAATGAAGGGGACTCGAGCACCAGCTGGCACTCTCTATTGTCTGCCTGCCTGCTAGCATTTGAATGTTTGTTCCCTCCAAGACTTGTATTGAAATCTAGTTGCTATTAAAAGATGTAGAGGCTTTAAGAAGTGATCGTGCTGTGAGGGCTCAACCCTTCTGGCTGAGACTGGGTGTGTCCCCTTCTTTCTCTGTCCCTATCTGCCATTAGAATTCACCAAGAAGGTCCTCACCAGATGCCAGCGCATTGGCACTGAACTTCTCAGGGTACAGGACTGTAAGCCAGGTAGTTTGTGTTCATTTCACACTATATAGTCTATAATACTAAAACACTGCTATAGTATTATACTGATACTACATTTTAGCAACAAAAATTAAATTAAATTACAAAGCTAAGGATCCTAGACAGACACCACAGGGCAGGAGGAAACAAAAGCTGCTTCATCTTATAAAGGACAAGAGGTGGGAATCACAGTGCTCATTGAAATCTACGCAGCTGTCAGACTATGTCAACACATGCACAGAAAAAGCTGTGCATATTTTGAAATGCTATTTATCAAGGTGTTAGAGGGTAATGGAAGCATGTTATTGGCAGGTAGCAGTAGAGGGCCTTGCAAACAGAGTTGATGTGTCTCCCTCAAGGACTATGGCACCATGCCATCTATCAATGTGACTACTCTTGAGAATTGTTAGAAGACAGTTTCAGAATTTCTTTTCAGGTAAAAGAAATCCTCTCTCTCTCTCTCTCTCTCTCTCTCTCTGTGTGTGTGTGTATGTGTGTGTGTGTGTGTGTGTGTGTATGGGCAAGTGTGTGTAGTATGTGTGTGTATGTATGTATGCATGTGTCTGTGTGAGTGTGTATGGTATGTGTGTGTACAGGTAGGTATGAGTGAGTGTATATGTCTGTGTGGATGAACGTGTGTGTTTAAGTGCGTGTATGGTGTGTGAGTGTTGTACATGGAGTGTCACCCTCTATTACTCCTCACGTCAATTCTTTTGAGGCTGGGGCTTTCTCTGAGCCTTTAGCTTATTCACATCAGCTAGCTGACTGCCAGTGAGCTCCGGGGACCCACCTACCTCCTCTCCCCCTGCCCGCTCAGCCCTGGGATGGCACACATGCACACTGCCACACCTAACTGTTTAGTAAGTGCTGGGGCTCCTAACTCAGGGGCCTCATTTGTCCAGAAGCCACTCCGCTTGAGGTTTGGCTGAGGGAGAGCTGGCTCAGCTTTGCATTGCTTCTCAAGAGAATTCCTGGGAAGAAGGCCATGGAAAGAAAGCTGCAGGCAGCTGCTCTCAGGAGAGGAACACAGTGGCCATGGAAGAACGACCTAGCCACTGTCCCCTCCAGCCTCCAGACACCCTCGGGACACTGGAAGACCGACACAGGATCACCCTGGCCTTCAGCTCTTCTGCAAAATCTGTTCACAAAGCCACTAACCTCACTACTACCCTCTCACTCTGCTCCATTCTGCTTAGAGAGTGAGCTCACAAGGACAAGGCCGTGGCCTGCGCTGGGTGGCAGCTGCCTTCACAGAGCCCAGGGAAGGACTGGCTGGGGAAACCTCACTAGACATTTCCTGAATGAAAAGTCCGACCTCCTCAGCAAGGTTTCCTTAGGAAAGATGAAGACTATGCCCCAAATTTTCCAGAGGGCTGAGACTATACATTTCCTAATTTTGTTTTTTCTATTTCTCCAGGACGAAAGTTCCATCCTTTGGGTCTTCATTTTTCCCATCTGTGAAATGAGCCCTTGCTGCCTCCCAGAAACCACGGCACTAGAGACGACCGAGAGCCCTCACCCCTCTCCCTACCCCTCCCCACCACAGGGCTCCTCTTCCTCTGACCCTTCCTTCCTCCAACTCCATCATTCCCCCTCTCCCAGGGGAACAATGCTCAGTGCTGAGGCCCCACTGGCTTCTTTCTTACATTTCTGGATCTCCACCACCTCGCTGGGGTAGAGCTCCACCTCCAGACGCCCATCGGCCTGGTTCTTATCCAGCCAGCGGTTGGCAGGGAAGGTGTACTGCTTGCCTTGGCGAGGCACACGGATCTGGACGCTACCCAGGAACCAGCCTGCATGCATGCCTGTGCTGTCATGCCCGATCACCAGCCTGTTGATCTGCAAGGAAACTCCAGAAAGGGCGTGTGAGCAGCCGTGTGCAGAAGGATTCAAGCCTCCACCTCCCTGAGCACTGGGCAAAAATCTCAGGGTCTCCAGATCCTTGGGAGAAGTCTCTGACCCAGCCTGTCCAGTGATCAGGAGCCTGGGGGACTGCCTACCCAGATGGTCTTTTCCTGCCGAAAGGCTCCATCTCCTCCTCCCTAAACTAATCCACCTCCAAGGTCAGAGGCAGAGCCGAGCAGGACTTTGGAATCTGTTAGGTACTTAAAAATGAGTGTGGCCACAGAAGCAGTGAGGTGTGCCGCATGGCTGGCAAGTGCTGCTGCTTCACTTTGCTTCAGTCTGAAGTGATAGAGTATTGTGCACATTTCTGCATTGTTTCTTTGTCCTTCCCATCCTATAGGGTGACAGAATTTGCAGACAACCTCCCTGGACGTGGTGGTCCTCTGTCTAATTCTCCTCTTACTCTTAGACCCAAGGAACATTTCTCTCTGTCCATTAACAGTCTATAATCACTTGCTTTGCTCTTTGACACTGTTCTATCTTTGCAGGGATGAGAGCTCAGATGGTCCCCAAAGCATCCTCATGTGTAGTTGGTTTCTCAGGGTTTGAACTGCTTTCTTTTGTGGAAATGTTGTACACAGGGTAATTTTAACCTCAGAAGGGATTAGCAGATGGCCTCTGGGAACCCTTCCAGCCCTGAGTTTTTCTCTCTAATGATTTGGAGGGTGACACTAACCTTGTCTCGTACCCAAAGTCCACATTTAGAAAATTGTCCACTCAAGCGCTGGTTTTTGCTTTCCCGAACACTAAGTGCTTCTTGGCAGCTGTTAATGAAACATTGCCACAGCCATGGAGCACAGGGTGTGGAGCAAAAGACCCTGAAATTGCCAGCTAAGTTTATAATGCCTCAGAGTCCTCAAATGCCTACCCCGGCTCAGAGGACAGTGCCATTGTTTCTCTGTGCTGCTGGGACTGGCACAGTTCTGGGGAGAGTATAAGGAAGAGTAATGACAGGGTCTGCTATCTGACAATACTGGGGGCTCCCTAAGGATGGGGACTGCCACTCACCTTGGACTCGAGGTGGAGTAATTGTTTAATGATATATACTGAACCGGACTATAAGCACGTGGGTTTGATAGCATATTCAATACTAATCGCAATCTCCATGGCACCTCCATAATTTGGAATGAAAAAACTGATGAAAAGGTTGGCTAACCTGCACATAGCAAGTCAGTAGAAATGCTAGGCTCCAAAGCTCTTGGCCACACTATTCAGTGAGGGGGTTTCACCAACCCAAGGACAAGTGTCCATGGTCTTCTGCTGTCAACCCCCTCCCCTAAGGTACCCAGAAATCCTTCAGCAAAGGGAGCAAAATATTTAGTTCCACAATTATTGATTCGGCTTAAAATGTAAATACATTTGAAGTTCATTAGCCTCAAGGGGTAATTGACTGTCACAAGATCTTTCCCAAGGGTGCAGACTGATGGCAAAAGGAGAGTTCCAGAGTACCTGAAAGGCATGGGGGGGTGTACATGAGAGGAGGGGCAGGGATGATGAGGTTCTGAAGGGAACACCCCATCCCAGTGCTCATCAGCTGGCACTTGGAGATTGGCAGGTGCAACACAAATCCTAGTGCAGACAATTTGGAGGGTGTCCTCAGGGCTCCAGTTTTTCATTTAAGCCTGATTTTCCAGGCGACATTAAGAAAGAGTGTCGCATGGATCAGCTCTTGACCAGGTTACTACTTGACTGAGTGTCAACCTTGGCCTATAAAGACTTAAGCAAAACACTAGCAGAGTTTAAGTAGCTCAAGGCCACATTTCTAGAACAATTCTCAGGCCCTCACCTAAAAAATTCAGATTCCAGTCAAGCTGAGCTTTCAGCCCAGCTCTTGGCTCTGGGATCTAGAAAGGTGGGAACCTAGTTCTTATAGGTGCCAATTAACAAACTCAGGTATGTTTCCCATTGCCTGTCCTTCCCCTTACCTCTTCTCACTACCGGAATGCTATTGAGCTCCTACTGACTATCCTCCTATCCACCTCTCCTCTTTAAGTCCCTGTAAACCTCTGGAAAACTCAGTTGAATTCCATTCACTCTGGCTCTTTTTCTGTTACAGTAGTCTATCACTGATTAGTCTGCCTTCCCAGTGAGTGGCCAGCGTGCTCACATCACCTACAGCAAGGCCACATGGAATCCTGAGAATCTTGGGCCTCGTTTCCCAAGACAGCATTTCTCAGGAGTTCCCATGAAGGATGCATTTCTGGACACAATCCAGAAGCACACTCACATCTGGAATTGAGAAATATCTTTATCCCTCTTTTCCCTCCCTGAATCCAGTGTCCGCTCCTTCAGCATCCATGCTCCATCTATACTCTCCTGGCAAAAACACTGGGGTAAAAACACATCAGTGCAGATGTGAATGCATATGGTCCAAGGTAGAAACACGGTGGGAAGATGTCACTCGATTCTAGGATGGACACTTACAGTTCCAATGTTCAGGGTCTCCAGGGTAAACTCATCTACTCGGCGGCGTTCAAAGTAGTCTTTGAGGTTGTTGTCAGAGACAAGAAGGACTTGCTTGATGGTGTCAGATTTCTCTCCATAGAGCTTGATGTACACCTTAGAATCTGTGCTGGCCCCAGAGACATCCCCAGTCTTCACACTGATGTGATAGCGGAAGTCTGAACATGCCAAGGCAGAGAGAGAGGGGAAAGTTAGTGCAGGTTGTACAAGGAGTGTGGTGTTTGAAAGAGGGACAATCTTCAGCCGGAAAGATCAAGGTTAGGACAGAACCCTGGAGTCTGGACCCTGGATCCTGGAACTGGGAGCAGAGGCCTCCTCTATCTCTGTGGAGCCCCCTTATCTATAAAACTGGTGCCTTAGCTCTTCCTGTTCTGTAAAAGGGGAACATATTGAAAGTAACTTAGACAAGAACACCCACACAGAGACTCAAAGCATCTTCAGAAATCCCCTGATCCAGCTTCTGATGGGCAAGGAACTGGCACCAAAGGCAATAGGGCCTTCTAGCATGTATCACTTTGGGCACACATTCTATGGTATTACTTCAGGTGCTCTCATTTCAGCCTTGCAGGAAAAGAATGCAGAGCTCAGGTCAGGTGTTTGACAGGAGGTAGTGACAATGAGGTTATCCAGTAGTAAAACCTTGATACGTATTTAAAGCGACTCCCACCCCTAATGGAATGTCCCATTTTATCTCCCAGAAATCTGTACAAGGGTGAAGAACACAAGAGGGGATGATAAGTTACAGGACACCACGAGCCAAACTCTAGTTGTCCAGGCAGGCCCCATGATGTGTTTCTTAACAAAGAAGAAAGATTTCAAGGCCTATCACTCATTGCTTCTTTGGGGTATTTCCACTGGAGTAAAGGGTCTGGAGAAAGCGAGTTGTGATGCCATGCCTGGGGCCATCTGCAGCAGGCCTAGCCCTGTCAGATCAGCAACACCAGGGAAAGATTAGGTGGGAACCAGGAGACTTCTTTCTTATGCCCCTTTCTAGATAAACCTTTGCAAATCTGGGACTAGGATACCAGGAGGATGGGGGCTTTGTCTACATGATGAGCTGAGAGCTTGTTGCAGAGGGAAGAACAGCAGTCTAAGGTAGAGATGCTCAGGGAACTGATCCCAGCTCCATCGGCAACTATAGGTCTGCGTGTTCTGGTCATGGCGTCCTCTTATTCTAAGCATGGGTGACCTCTCCTCTTGGCTCCTTCCCAGGTTTTAGGCTCTGTGATGCTGAGTCCAACACTGGATTTTCTAGTTCCAACCATGTCAAGGTAAATATATGTATCTTACAGACCTTGGTTTCCCCATCTGACAAACGGACAACCTCAGCTCTGCCTCCCCTTGGACGTTATTGCAGGGCTCAGATGAGCTACCCCCTAGAAACATGAAGTGCTGCATTGTTGGGATTCTGGGGGAACGTTTCTTTTAAATGTTTTCTAAAGCTCATGTTCCAACCATGGCATCTGAACACACAGCACTAGTAAAAAGACCTCCATGGCTCCAGGACAATGCTCAGCATTTAAAAGTCCCCATTCAACAGCCCCTCCACAATGCATTTCTGCTCACAAAGCAATGACCGCTGTGTCTGTTGCCATCAGCTGGTGTTACTGTTTTTATTACTCTGTTGACCCATATTTAGTCAGGGCCTAACACCATGCTGCACCTGGACTGTGCATTCAAAAACAGGCATACGAGAAGTCTTGTTTCTCCACCACCCTGTGCTGCATCCATGAATGAAAATGAAGATGTGTCTTCCTTGAAGGTCGAGGTCCTGTTTAGCTGAGGAAAGGCAACCATCACTCCCGTGGACACCCATTACCTGGCCATCAGGGCAACTCACTTTTGAGCGTGGCATTGCTGTCGCTAGGCAGCAACTCTCGAACCAGTTGTCCATCATCCTTCTCTTTGTCCAGCCACCTTGAGAGAGAGGGGGTTGAGGGGCGAGTTTTTTTCAGTGGAACAGGCAGAGGCTCCAATCACCACATCCCTCATGTAGAGTCACCAGGGAGGCCCACAACTTTGAATTGAGCAAAAGAAAGTGGGTCTCTGAGATCTCCTGGCAAAGTATTGCAACCCAAATCAGTAGAGAAAGACTCTGCTGAAGGCTGGCTGTTGGCTGAGATTAGAAAGATGACAAGATGCTGGCCAGAAAATGAGAGAGGAGCATCCCAGAGAAAAAAAACATCCTGGGACGGAAGTCTAGGAGTTGGTGAAAGGACCACATAGACAAAATGCATCAAGTGAGAGATGGAGCTGCTAGCAAATGAGGATGGGCAAGGTCAGGTCACAGGATCATGATAAAAGGCCACTGTTGCTGCTGTCAAACACATCTTCTCAGAGCCAAGTGTGTGTGTGTGTGTGTATGTGTGTATGTGTGTGTGTGTGTGTGTGTGTGTGTGTGTTCATCAGGACAACTATTAGTGGTGCTTGCCTGTGGTCCTGTACCAAGAAATCTATCTGGAAGAGAGCAGAAAGAGCACACCAGGATGATCCGCTCAGGCTGCTGGAAGCCTACAGCATGACTGAGAAGATAGGATGGACGAAATGAAGCACTGAGGGTTGAACAAAGTGCTCTGAGGATTTAGAGAAAGGAGAAGGACTTCAGTGAGGAGGTTGGACTGGAATCTTCAAAAACAGGAGAGATTTGACTTCATGAAAAGGTCAGTCTGTGGTCTTCAGGGCTCAGGTTTGATACCTCTGTCTCATCAATGTGTCCTAGGAAGCAGTGGCTCCAGCCATCTGTTGGCCATCCCCCAGAGGAAGAAATGGAGACTATCTACCAAGATACCTTTCCCTTAGAACACAGGGGCCAAGCCTAAGAAATAAACCTATCATGAAAGCATGAGTTGTCTATATAACCTATAGGCAGGCTAGTTTGTACCCTAGTGCCAGTCGCTGTTCCCTGGGGACTGGCTTCTTAGACTGTGGAGCATGACCCCGCAGAGAGCTGTGGAACCAAATGTGGGAGTTGCAGGATGGAGGCAGCAGGAGAGAGGTTCTGATGCACAGCTATCCAGACTTAGGTAAAGAAAAGAGAGTACTAACTCCAAGGTGGCGGTGCTTGCCTATGCAGTGCAGGTGAGTTCACAGCAGCCTTGGCTCTGAGCACACAGCATGCACATTTTTCCTGCACATGTGCAGCCTAAAGCTCTTTGGCCCCTATTTGAGACCATTGCATGTTGCGAAGTACAGTATTTTCATTTCCGTAATTTCTCTCTGCTCTTATATAAACATATGATTTCATCATGCAACACAGACCTTTAATATTTTCTATCATATATGTTCTCAGTAAAATGCCAAATTAATATTTATTTGGATTTTATTGAATTAGAATATTTAATTGTTTGAGTTTCTGACTTGAATTTGTCTTAAAGATTGTCAGATGACTCAGGGCTTGGGATTTAAACGTAATTTCCAATAACTTCTGATACGATCCTGAGCATCCTTCTGCCATTTTGCACTATCCATTTGTGCAAAGCAGAGTTATCAGCATTGACAGTTAGAAAACCAAGATAACAGTCAATTCTAAAAAAAAAAAAAAATACTGAAGCTAGTTTACATCCTATAGAATCAAATATTCAGACTATATTTAACCTTCTCTGTAAAAATCAATAAACATATCCACCTCATTAGCAAATTAGATAACTAACTTAAAATATTTTAAATTTGATTGTATCTAATAAATGGTAGAATTATATGTATTCCAAAGACTTGTCTTACAACAGATTTCTTTATTTCTATAGTGTGGGCTTTGTATAGCTATTTTATTGACTTAGACACCCAGGATTACATAAAAATTTCTTGGGCAAAAAGGGGTCATGCGTGGAAACACTTTAAGAACCTTGTGTTAGAGAACTGCGGAGACCAAGCCCGTTTTGTCCACTTTATGCGTTGGTGCTTGTCTTCAGAGCCCTTCCCTCAAACTCCCGAGCAGGCAGGGCTCTCCAAGCCTGTGATGATGGAGTATTCAATATTATAATAAAAATATCTCTTGCACTAAGAGTCTGACTGGAACTTTTGCTAGCCCTCACAGGCCAGGTTAGTAGCACACCCGAAAGCACTCAAGACAGACTTCAGTCTGCTGTCCTACTGTGGAGAGCCACTCGTTTAACTCGCCTTTAAGAATAGACTGTACTAGCCATTCTGATGGGTTTAAGGTGAAATCTTAGGGTCATTTTGATTTGCATTTCCCTGATGGCTGATGAGGTTGAGCATTTCTTTAAGTGTTTCTCTGCCATTCGATATTTCTCTATTGAGAATTCTCTGTTTAGCTCTGTACTCCAGTTTTTAATTGGATTACTTGATTTTTTGCTGTTTAACTTCTTGAGTTCTTTCTATATACTGGATATTAGCCCTCTGTCAGATATAGGGTTGGTGAAGATTCTTTCCCAATCTGTAGGCAGTCGTTTTGTTCTGACGACAGTGTCCTTTGCTTTACAGAAGCTTTTCAGTTTCATGAGGTCCCATTTATTGATTGTTGCTTTTAGAGCCTGTGCTGTTGGCGGTAAGATAAAAAACTCAAGAGACAACACATGCTGGAGAAAGGGGAAACCCTCCTCCACTGCTGGTGTGAATGTAAACTTGTATAACCACTCTGGGAATCAATCTGGCGCTTTCTCAGACAACTAGGAATAGTGCTTCCTCAAGATCCAGCCAGACCACTCCTAGGCATATAGCCAAAAGAGTCTCAAGTACACAATAAGGACATTTGCTCAACCATGTTTGTAGCTGCCTTATTTGTAATAGCCAGAAGCTGGAAATAGCCCAGATGCCCCTCAGTGGAGGAATGGATGCACAAATTGTAGTATATCTACACAATGGAATATTACTCAGCAATAAAAAACAAGGAAATCATGAAATTTGCAGGTAAATGGTGGGATCTGGAAAAGATCATCCTGAGTGAGCTATCCCAGAAGCAGAAAGATGCACACGGTATATACTCACTCATATAGACATATAATATAGGATAAACCTACTAAAATCTGTACACCTAAAGAAACTAATCAAGAGGGAGGACTCTTGCTAAAATGCTCAATTCCTATCCAGAAAGACAAAGAGGATGGACATCAGAAGAAGGAGAAAAGAGGGAACAAGTCAGGAGCCTGACACAGAGGACCTCTGAAAGGCTCTGCCCTGCAGACTATCAATGCAGATGCTGAGACTTATGGGCAACTTTTGGGCAGAGCGCAGGGAATCTTATGAAAGAAGTGGGAAACAGTAGGATCTGGAGAAGACAGGAACTCCACAAGGAGAGCAACAGAACCAAAATATCTGAGCACAGGGGCCTTTCTTGAGACTGATACTCCAACCAAGGACTATGCATGGCGATAACCTAAGACCCCTGCACAGATGTAGCCCATGGCAGCTCAGTATCCAAGTGGGTTCCATTGTAATAGGAACAGGGACTGTCTCTGACATGAACTGATTGGCCTGCTTTTTAATTACCTCCCCCTGAGGGGGAAGCAGCATTACCAGGCCACAGAAGAAGACAATGCAGCCACTCCTGATGAGACCTAATTGACTAGGATCAGAAGGAAGGAAAAAAGTCCTCCCCTATCAGTGGACTTGGGGAGGGACATGCATGCAGAGGGTGGAGGAAGGGAGGGATTGGGACGGGAGGAGAGAGGGAAGCACAGGGGGGATACAAAGTGAATAAAGTGTAATTAATAAAGAATTAAAAAATAATAGAGTGTAGCTCTCTCTCTCTCTCACTCTGTCACTCCTCTTACTCTTGCTTCTCTCTCTCTCTCTCTCTCTCTCTCTCTCTCTCTCTCTCTCTCTCGGTACCCCATTCCCTTTTCTCTCTCACTCCCCATCATGCCCTGTTCTCCCACTCCCTCTATACCCACCCAATAAACCTCTTGCATAGAAAAAAAAAAGAATAGAGTGTAACAACCAACCTTGCTTGCTTTGCATTTTCCATTAGCTTTTGCAACCTAAGCTTTGCATAGTTGTGAGCTTAAGTTTTCGACCCTTCATGCTGCTGACCCAAGAGTAATACATGTGTGTTTATATGTATGAATGCTGTGACAATTATTTACTGAAAACAGAAAACAGGCTGAAAGCTGCCTTATAAAATGAATATCCACCGTCAATGCTGGGAGTGGCATTTGGACATATGGCTTTATAGTGTTTGCCTGTTATCTGGGTCAGCTGGCGTCAATGACTTAGTTCCTTGTAAAACTCTGTATTCCCCATCCCTTACCCATGTGCTGCTTTCTGTGCTGTTCAATAAAAGAGAAAGCAAAGCCCTTTGCTAGGGACATGAAGACTCAAAGCCAGGGACAGACAAGTTCACGACAGTGTTCAGGCAGGTGTGGATTCAAACTCACAAAACAGACAGGGAAACATGATACCAGGAAGGAGAAGTAAAGATTTCAAATTGAGGCTCTTTTTGGGTTAAATTATAGCAAGGGTGAGCTTTTTAATCTATTTTCTTTAATTACACACCTGTACATTATTAGTGACTGAGTTTGCCATTGACACATTCAAACAGACACATAAGCCTACAAAGGAAGCCAAGGCATTTCTTCCTCCTCACCCCTTCTGGCATGAAGTTCAGGACTCCTGAAGAGCCAATGAGGCAACACTATGCTTTCTTCATCTCTTCTTATTTATCTCATATCCAAATTCCAAGAGCCCCCACTCCCCTGGGACCTTGCTGTCAGCTTGTATTAGTTAACACTAAAACGCTATTCGCTTATATAGGGTTCGTGGCTAGGATTTAGAACACTGGAGAGATGAAACAGAGACTCCAAGACACAAAGATTCATGGTAGCATTAAGTGTTGCTCACACAGGCTATGGGAATCACAGAGTGCTAGCTACAGTCCTTTCCTTAAATTGAACCATTGTGACTTTCCCTTCCTCTGTCTTGTCAAAGTCACTGATGATGCCCTGAGTCACAGAGCCTGCAGGAGAGATGGCTGGTATGTTGCCTGACCATTGATGGAAGCAGACAGGTCCCCAACCACCAGAAAAATTCCATCTACTGTTCATTGTGCCCTCCGTTCACCTAGCTCTAGTCCCTCCTGTTTGGTAAAAGGAAACCATGACACATCCTTCTGTTGCTACCCAAATACTTTTGAGGTATTAATAGACATAGTTTTAAAAAGCAATTTCCTTCCAGCTTCAATTGCTTCAACCTAGTTTTGCCATGAGGTGTTGCCAAATGGATGTCAGCATGCTGGTAGCTTCATGATAGTCTTCTGGGAGCCTACACAAGCAACTCGAGTGAAGAATGAACAGTGTGTGGGCTCAGGACCAAAGTTAACCTGGAAGTGTGGTCCTCCTAGGCATTAACACACGTGAGTGAGAGACACTGAGGTTTCACAAAACACTGACACTTCTCCTTGTTCTAAAATTTCTCTATTGACAACCTCCGAAATCAGCAGGAGCGCTGGCTGAGCGAGGAATACTTCCAAAAAAGTAGTGCAGAAAGTCCTCTCTTAGGTTGAGAGAAGGAAATGCAAACAAAGCCGGGTTGGCAGCATCCTAACCATCGGTGATACAGGATTTGGGGACCACAGACTGCTAGCTACAGTCCCTTAAATCGAACCATTGGGACTTTCCTTTCTGCCTTGCCAAGATCAACGACTGCCCCTTAGTCACAGAGCCTACAGGAAAGATGGCCTGAAATGATGTAACCAGGCCAGAGACGTAATCAGGCTTTTCAAACCAAAATCCAACTTGTATTCATATTTCATTCTGTACCTAACTAATTCCCCAATTACCCACTTAACTTCAGGAAATGTCAGGGTTTTATTTTTATTTTTTCATGAGAAAAAACATCCTGTTGGCATCAGGTGTGCACTGAAGTGCCTCTGTCCACCAGGGGTGGGGTAGAAATGTGACACTCAGGTCACACACCTCCTGCAGGGCCACCTCTTTATTGCGTCAATGAGCACCTTGAGTCACTGTTTCTTTTACTGTTCCCCATGAAAGGTCTGAGTCTTTCTCTAGCACAAGCTGGAAGAAAGGAAGGCAGAGGACGGATGTACCTGAGGCATGGAAACTCCACGTTGTCGCTCTCCGGCTGCCCTTCCTCTCTCACCAGCACCCTGGCCAGGTACCAGCCACTGCTTGAGCCTTTGCCATCATGTCTGACCCTCACCCGCCTCACCTTCCTCAGGGTGACAGACTCAATGGTAAACTCGTCGGCCTTTGGGAAAGAAAAGACAGCAAGGTCATGTAGATGGTTGATGCCCCTGAGACCCAGCACCCAGTGGGGGCGCACTCCAGAAGTGAGAAGGCAGAGCTGAGAGAGTGAACTGTAGTTCTTCCACGGGTGCACACAAGCTACCACAGGAACAGAAACATAAAATACATGCAACAATAACCTCACTGTCCCTCCCAAGATGGACCAAGCCTACCTGCCACCTCCTAATGAGAAGGGCTTTCCCAACACAGCCTTCAAATGCCCATCCTTGGATTGGTTCAGACAGAGTATTCCATTTGCATCCCAAGCCTCACCCCTTCCCCACCGAGAAAAGGGTAAGTGGAAGAAGGAAAAGCAAAGACATCTACACAACCCTTTCATCTGGAAGTCCTCACCAACTTCATATCACCAAAGCAATGAGTCTTTACTGGGTATCTATTGTGTGCTGTGAACCATATCTGATCCCTACAGTTCATCAGTCCTCTGTAACCTTCACAATAGCCTCGTTTCCCTCATGTTATATACAAAGAAAGTGTGGCACAGGAGAGTGGAGTGAGTAGCCCAAGGCTGACTTTCCTTAGACCTATTTGGTCCTTTCTGCACTGCTTTACAGCCTTTTGGCTCACAGTAAACCTGCTTGATGGTTGTGGTAACATAGGGCCATACCTAACACATTGTGTTGTGGCTAGCAATGAGCCAATTGAGCTGAGTTCCCAGGTATCCAATCAACCAGATATTTCTGTGCCTTTAAGCAGCTCCTACCTGGATTCCCTAGACCCTACTTCCCCTCATCCAGACAGATACTATCTCATTGCAGGGGTCCTGCCACCAGCCATCAGCTGTACTCTGAGAAAACAAGGAAGGTGGAGGATAGAGCAGGGCTGTGTTGAGAGGGGGTGTCATAACTTACATTGCCTTTCTCAAACAGGTCGGTGTTGTTCCTGCAGTTGTAAAGCAGTCGCTCCCCTGTGTCCCCCACATCACCAAAAAGGCAGAGGTAGACGTTGGCGTCAGTCCCTGCACCTTCAAGCTCCCCTGTGCATACAGTCACACGGTACCGGGCCACTGGCAGACAGAAAGGGGGACACTGTTGGCTGGCTGCCTCTGCTCCCATGCCTAAGCTCTGCACCCACTTCTTCCGTCACCTCTTCATTTAGTACTTTCCAAATCCCAGTGCAGTGAGCCGCTTGGGAGCTGATTCATGCCAAGCCTTGGCTTAGACAGACCAGAGGCTCTTAATGCCCATCAATCATCAGAAACCCATGGGAAGTGTTTACAAGAATTCACATTTCTGAGGCCCACTTCAGACATCCCAGGCCTGAATTTCCAGAGGGAAGACCCTTAAAACTGGGTAATTAGTAAACTCCCTCTGTGGAGTCATCAGAAACCCAATGAAAACCATTTACAAGAATTCGAATTCCTGAGGTTCACTTCAAACTTCCCAAACGTTAATTTCCAGAGGTAAGACACTTAAAACTGACCCCTAAATCTGCAGGAAACAGCACTATAAAATACATACAATGATCACCTCATTGTCCCTCCCCAGATTAGCCAAGCCTACCTACAACCTCCAGATCAGAGTTATTAATGAACCCTCCATGTGGAGTCTCATGGAAAGAAATGAGTGTTACCTAGAAGTAGGGTTCAGTGGAAATGGAGAGAAGGCAACAGCTACTGTGATGGTGTAATTTAGAAGCAACTGTTGGTAATGGCTCAGATAGGTAATCAAGAAAAAGAGAGGAATCAGGTTTTGCTTTGAACAAATAGTGGAGAGAGTTGTTAATAAGGATTAGGAGGTCTAGGGTAAGGATATGGTTGGAAGGTATGGTGGTGCACACCTTTAATCCCTGCACTCAGGGAGGCAGAGGCAGACAGATCACTGTGAGTAAGAGGCCAACCTGGACTACAAAGTGAGTCCAGGACAGCCAAGGTTACACAGAGAAAATTTGTATGAATTGGGGTGGGTTAATGGGAGTCCCCTTTTCTGAGAAAGAGAAGAGGGGGGAAGAGGAAGGGAGAGAGGGACTGGGAGGAGAGGAGAGGGGGCTATGATTGGAATATAAAGTGAATAAATAAATAATTATTTGAAAAATAAAGGAAGGCAGGAAGGAAAAAGGATGTGTTTGGGAATTGAAACCAAGGCTTTATTCTGGTCACTATACATTTGAGGTGCCAGTTCGGTATTTAAGAAAAAGAAGTCAAGATGGCAGTTACATATATGTGGAAGGCCAGGTCCAGCAGCATGACTTTAGTCATCATTAGATGTCTTCCATTTAGAGCCATGAAATCTGGGGAAAGCCATGATGAAGAAGATGTAAACAATGATTAAAATAATATTTGAAGATAAAATGGTCCCAAATTTTCCAAATTTGAATTAAGAATATTAATCTGTATATTTAAATTTTTATGTAAAATGAAACTCTAAATAAGAAAAATCCATAGAGATCTACTTCTAAACACATCATAATAAAACATATAAGAGTGAAAGACAAACAGGAAATCTTTAAAAGAAGCAACAGGAAATTAAGCACAAGGATACTCAATAAAAATTAGCAGACAACTTTTCATCCAAAACTATGGAAACCAGAAAGCAGTGGAATGCTAAATTCAATAAGCTGAAAGAAAAAGACCATTATCTGAGGATCCTATATCTACTAAAACTACCCTTCAGGAAGAAAGCTAAATTAAAGCATTCCAAAATAAACAAATAATTCAAGAATCTCCCATCACTAAAAGACCTTCTCTGTAACAAATATTAGTGGGAAATCTTTGCATTAAATAGTAGGCAGTAACGTGAATTCGCCCGGAGTAATATGAATCACCAGAAAAGATAAAGTGATAATAGCAAAGATGCTGTACATGTATTTTTTTCATTTTTAATACCTGTCTTCTCAGATTTTATATAAAACACAACCGCAGAGAACAATAACTATGAAATTGCACTGATGAGTCTGTAATGTATAAAGACACAAATTCCCAGTATAGGGTGTCATATATCCCAGACAAAGACACAATTTAAATGACAACAGTTGTAGGAAAGAAAGTGCAAGGGAGTGAAGTTTTTATGCTCCTAAAACTAAGTTGACATTACTTTGAACTAGATTGTTCTAAGATGTGCATTTTAATTTGGGGGAGACTACTTCGAAAGTAACTGAAATAATATGTAGTAAAAGAACAGGGGAAAAATGGCCCCACATCTCCTCTGGGCTGTGCTGTGCAATGGCGGGAGAGCTGGCCCCACCTCTCACCTGGCCAAAGCAATGGAGCTGGTCATACCCCTCCATCACACCTAGGCAAAGCAGGAGAGCTGGTCCTGGCAGTGCAGCCACAGGACAACTGACAGGTGACTGTCCAGGCCCAGATCCAGGGCTTTGAGCTGGCCCACCCTAACATCTACCCTATCTATGAACTGCAGGATCACGTGAAGGGGCTGGTTCTGCAGATCCAAAACGGCAGGATCTCCATGTGCTACATTTGATGTAATTTTGATACATGGGCTTAATGTTCCAAGCAAAAATCAGAGTATGGTGGGCATCCTGCAGAGATGGGGGCTCATGATGTCACTACACACAACCAGCCAATGCAAGATGTATTGTTGAACTCCTCTGTGGCTGGTGGGAGTGCAACTTGTAACCACTTTGGAAGTCAATCTGGCTCTATCTCAGAAAACTTGGAACAGATCTACCTCAAGACCCAGCTCTACCCCTCCTGGGCACACCCAAAAGATGTTGCACTGTACAACAAAGACATTTCCTCAACTATGTTCATAGCAGCTTTATCCATAATAGCCAGAAACTGGAATCAACCCAGATGTCCTTCAAAAGAAGAACAGATAAAGAAACTGTGGTATATCCACACAACAGAATACTATTCAGCTATTAAAAAACAAGGGCATCATGAAATTTTCAGGGAAATGGATGGATCTGCAAAAGATCATTCTGAGTGAGGTAACCCAAACCCAGAAAGATGGATATGGTATATACTCATAAATGGATATTAGGCATACAATACAAGATAATTATACTACAATCTACAGACCTAAAAAAATTAAATAATAAGGGGGACCCTAGGGAGGATGCTTAATTCTCATTCAGAAGTCAAATAGAATAGACACTGGACATGGTTGAAGAGAGGGAACAAGGCAGGAGCCTTCCATAGACGTCCTCTGAAAAACTCCACCCAGCAGAGGACTGAAGTAGATGCTGAGACTCACAGCTTAACTTTGGGCAGAGCACAGGGAGTCTTATGGAAGAGTGGGAAATAGAAGAACCTGGAGAGGACAGGAGCTTCACAAGGAGACCAACAAAGCCAACAAATCTGTGTCCGGAGCATCCTGCAGAGACTGATGCACCTGCCAGTCTACATGGAGAGGACCTAGACCCCTGCTCAGATAGAGCCGATAGGCAGCTCAGTCTCCATATGGGTCATCTAGTAAGGGGACAAGGAACTGTCTCTGACGTGAACTCTGTTGCCTGTTCTTTAATCACTTTCTCTGGATGAGGTGACCTTGCCAAGCCACAGGGGAAGATGCAGGCAGTCCTAAAGAGACTTGATAGTCTGAGGTCAGTTGATAAGGGAGAAGTACTCCCTCTTTCTGAGGACTAGAGTATAGGAATAGCAGAGAGAGGGAGGGAGGGGGATATGATCGAGATGTAAAATGAATAAATTAATAACAATAGAAAATGAAGATAAAAGTGATGTATTGTTGACATGAGGGATTCTAGGGAAAGCTTGCCAGGCTTTGAAGAAGGTTCACAAGCAAAGACCTTGAGAATTTATGGTGGACAAAGGATAAGAAAGGTGAAAAGATCCTGTAAGGGCAGAGGTAGGACAAAATTTCTATCAGTGTTGAGGACCAGAGAACCCATACATTTCCACAAGCATCTGTTATACAGAGACTGTCAAAATGGACATGGATTTAAATATCTTATCACAAAGAGATATACTTTAGATCCTGCAACACAAATAGGTTGAAACTAAAGAATGACTACCAAAACTGACTTGAGATCAAACAGATTTACAGAAAGTAAAAATAAAATAAATAAATAAATAAATAAATAAATAAATAAATAACTACACAGAAAGAAAAGCTTATGTCTAGATGTCTTGGGATATCTAGTATACATAAAACAAACACTATTTCTTATGAAGATTGTGTAACAGGAGAAGAGTGGGTATATATTCATTTACTTTTCTTCTAGTTGTGACCAAATGGGTACCTGACAAGGAGCAACTTACTGAAGAAGATACTTGTTTTGCTTCAGGGGTTTAAGGGACTCCGACAGCCCTGGCAGGAAGACATGAAACATGAGTGCCCACAGCTGTGGTAGCAGCTGCAGGAAGCTGCTCGCTCACAACTGGATGGGCCAAGAAGCAGAGAGAGATGACAACTCGTGCTCGATCCTCTCTTTTGCACCATCCACCCCTCAGCCCACGAGAAGGCTCCACCCCCATTCTAGATAGGTCTTTCTCAATCTGGGTAGGTCTCTCTCCCTTGGTTAATCTCTCTAAAATAACCTCAAGACATACCCAGGAATGTGTGTCAGTCTCCTAGGTGATTCCAAATCCAGTCAGAGGGCAATAAAATTAACCATCACAAATTCACCCTTCGTCAATGTGACTTTTAAACACATCACTGTAATCCACAGTGTTCCACCGCTGACCAAAAGGCCTGCACCAGTCTGATAACACCAAATGCATTCAGTCAAACTTTAGAAGGTCCCACAGTCTTACTTTTACTTGGTAGGATCTTGCACCTGAGGCTCCTTTACTTTTGTCCTGCCAAGTCCCTGATTTGCTTTAACATTGCTAATGTCTTTTAACAATTACAGCCACTTTGTCCACAGCTGCTTTGCCTGTGACTTTAACTGGGTTCACGCTCCTTTTCTTTCCTAACTATGTATTTTTTTTTATTCCTGTCTGTTCCACCTTTTGCTTTGAATTCTCACTGTAGGACATCACAAAATGCAGTGAGCAATAAACTGGGCCAGAGTCTACATGGTATACTGACGTTTGTAATTTCTTCTCATCAAGTAAATCACTCCATCGCTTTCTAATTCAGTCCC